ACCTGCCCAGTGTTTGATTGTTTGCTGTTGTGTCTTGTTGCTTTTCTCTTCTTTTCCTCTCTCCTCTTTCCACTCACCCCAACCACTCGAGGCAGAAAGCCACCCACTAAGAGCCAGGGTCTGTCGGAGGTTTCTTCCATTAAAGGTAGCTTTTCGTCCCCACTGTCACCAAGTGCCTGCTCAAGGGGGATTTGTTGGGTTTTTCTCAACAATAATAATAACAATGTCTAGCTCCTACTTTGTAAAGTGTCCCGAGGTGACTTTTGTTGTGATTTGATGCTATACAAATAAAACTGAATTGAATTGAATTGAACTGAACTGAACCCCTTTGCACTGTGTTGTTCCAGTTTCACAGAGTGGAGAGAGCAGCCTGTCTCTCATCCATATCCTTAGTGTGTTTTGCTCTAACTGGCTGTAAGATTGTGGGGTCTATAAACAATCAGCTTAAATGTGTAAACCAGGTCAGAGCAAGCAAAACTGAAACTGCAGCCATATAGGATGAGAGGAACAGCTTGATCCACACAGAAGACTGAGGGAATTATAGGGGGGGGGAATTCAAACTTTGTCTCTGACACAAGCTGAACTCACTACAACTGCAGTTTACGCTCATCACTTTACAAAATATCTGGGTATGTGAGTGTAAACTCTGGAGAATGTGAAGTTTCTTGTCTCTAGTATCCATAAATCCTGGCTTGTTTTGAGACCAGCTGCAAAGGCCTACAAACACTTCAGGTGCTTGACCCCAGCAGTCTTACAGACATAGTGTTTTAGAAATGTACTTGAGCTCCACTCAACTGTAATTATAAAATCCTTCAGTGTTTTGAAAAGCAGACACAACCTGCAAGAAACATTAAGCGATTTTGGAGATGTAGAGTGATGGGTGCTTTTAAAAGTGACACAGATCTAGTACTGCAGGTGCTTCTCATCAAAGTCATGTCATGAGACAAATAGAAGTAATAAAAGAATAAATCCATCTAACTAGCTGAATTCCATTTAAATGTTTTCTATGTGGTTTTTGTTTTTATGAGATTGGACTGGTGCACTTTTAATTGCATTATCTTGCTGTGCCCTCGTCTTTTGCAGTTGTGTAGTAGCCCTCTACTGGAGAGTCAGTAGCACCTTTATCACCAAATATATTGGCATAACGATAGTAGATGGAAACAAACATTAACCTGTATTTTCTTTGGTCAGTTTTCAGGAAATGCTCAGATTTGTGCAGCATTGTGATGCAAACTTGACCACTGTCATGTCAAACCAAAACAACTGAACAGAATGGAGTCACTGTGAGTAGCACCTACTGTATGTATTCCCTACTATGATGTGTCAAAATGTGAAAAAGGGCCATTGTACACAGCTGATATAATGCAGACATTTTACTATCCAAGAGTTGCATTCACTCCCATCCAGCACCTTTACCCTCATTCATTTTGGTACTTTAAGTCTGGAAATGTCTATTTCAAATGTCTGGCAGTAGTTCTTTGACAGAATGATATTGACTAAACACACCTGAGCACGATAGACATGGAAATAGTTCACGTATTAGCCTGAACATAAGGCGGACACAACACACACACTTTTTTGTGTCCACCTGTTTTTGAAAAAACTCTTTATTTTATTGCATATAAACAGTTTGAGATTAATCAGGCAGGGAATATTTTTCTGAACTACTGAGAGCTCTCCTCCTTGAAAATATATTTTTTCTTGTAAAAGATGCGCATGAAAGACTTTCATTAAGGCACAATGTAAATCCCACATTCCTGCCATTCATTATTCACCAAAACCAGCTGACATGCACTAAGCATACAGTTTAGTGGAGTGCTCCTGCAGGGTGGCCAGTATGGGACACAGACTCAGAGAGGGGTGGTACATTTGAAATACTGGTAAAAACAAAAAGTTAATCAAAACCCTAGTTTTATAAAATATTAAACCATACATTATTAAGGATCTAAATGTTTTCTCTGTGTAAAAATGAGACACACATAGTACTTTCTTTAGCTAACTTTGGCTGCGCTCCTTATTTACTCTCAGCCTGGGACATCATTGCTACACAGTGGTTCTGCCCCACTGAGACAAATCAAGTACCCCACACCAACACAGTGGGAGAAATGAATGCAAATATCGTGCTGCATACATGATAAAAAATAAAACAAATTTGACCAATATCAATTATAAAGCACCAGGAAAATGCTAATTGTATTTAAGGCAACCATTTGTCATAATATTTCTTTTTTCATTCAACAATTTGTCATTATTTTTCTTTTTTCATTCAATAATACTGACAAGCATCACATTTTGACTCTGGCAGGGGTGGCCAATCAGATTCTGGGGTTGGATGGTGCCACCCCTTAGCTATGCCCACACTCTCTTGACCTTTGGCCTCAGGGCAGTTGTCTGGTTGAGCATCCAATCTTGTGTCATTATTATTTACTGAGTAAGTCTGCAGCAGTGAAAAAATCTTAACCACTCAACTATTTTTGGCATGTTTAGATGTGGACTTTCTGTGCCTTAACCACATATAGCCACATTTTGTTCGCATGAATGATGATTTCCTGACTGAACTGCCATGTTATTTTGTATTCAGTTATAATCAAACTGGATTTGATATTTTGGAGGAAGATTTAATTGTAAAATTTCTGGAAATGTCAACTGTTAACCGAATTACACACACAGCATGAGGAGAGCTGGAGAAATGTGAAACATACTGAACATATTTCCAGAATAGGGAAGTTCAAGGACACTAGAACTTGTAGTCAGTCCCTCTGGAGGCATCACAAACTAAAATTAATGAAACATCTGTGATCCACCCAGGCTGCTTTTTACTCTAAGCATCAGTGAAAAGTTGTCAGTGATATAGAGGGAAATTTAACTCGCATCATTTCCTTTGTTTAGTTTAAACCTGTAATTGGCCAAGGAAAGTTGACTGAGCACATTTTCCAGCAATCCCCAATTGACAGGTACATATTTACATCTGCATGTCATTTTCAACACAGTACTGTATGACACCAAAAACAGAGAGTGAAAGTTAATGTGAAGACTTAGGAGAAGTTTCTGCTACTTAAGAGTGTGTGTGGGGGGGCAAGTGCTAGAAGGAGAGCTGGAGAGACAAAGCAGAAACATAAACTTCATATATTAGACCACCTGGGAACCATATCTGGCTCCCTTTTTACCCCCATCTTCTTTATGTTTTTCCAATGAGCCCAGCTCATAATCTGTTCACACCCTTCACTGCTCCTTCTCCTCTTTTCTCCTGCAATAAAACACCAACTAAACCTTGCTAAACTGAGTCCTTTCAGCTGCACTGCACCCCCAGGTCAAACACTGATGCATCACAGCTGAAAGATTCTTTCCAGGTCCTGGGTAGCCATTTTTGACTCAAGTTCCCAGACAGAGAGTTATAAACTGTAACTGGACTTTCTCTTGCCTCCTTCACTGTGTCCTAATTCCCTTGTCCTGTTGTGTGTTTGCTTGACAAGAGGGGCTCTGTCTCAAATCAGCCGCTGCAACAGCTGCTCCTATGGCCTCTGTGCACAGACACATACTCTGACACATGCACACATAAGTGGATAGCAGCAGATAAATGCCCACCAAAGGGTCAAGGTGCCCTCTGATATGTGCCATTACGCAAAAATGCACAAGGCCACAAGTCATGTCACCCCAAAACCTGAAACGGCACTGCAGTACTGGTAACTGCAGTTTTACTGTACTGAAGGCTACATCCACGTTAGTCATTTTATCGGACTGGTCACACACACACACACACACACACATACACACAGGCTTGTACCCATGTGCATGACATTTTTTGGGGTTACTGGACAATTTTGAGGTAATCCCATCACCAGCCTCCCAAATTGATATTCTGGTGTATGAGGGGGACAATTTTGGAGGGCGAAACAAGGTATGAATTTATCTACACTTCAACACAAAGCACACACTCATCCCAATGCTACAAAGTAAACTTTAGCTACATAATCTGAAAACAAAAAAAAGCTTTGGCATCTTGTTTGACCTAATTTGTTTTTTGCTTTGCCCCCTTAAACTTTATGTGCAGAATGATACTGGGACGGGACATTAAACTTACTTAAAAATCTTGTTGCACTGATCCAAAATCCAAAACATTTGAGAACGCTTAGGATGGTAGAAAATTTGGAGATTACCTTTGCGCGCACAGACCCTCTCCACCTCATGTGCACACAGGTTATAATCTATATGCATACACAAACAAATACGCACGCATGCACACAGGGGAGGAAGCGCGCAGGCAGGGAAAGAAGAGTGAATCAATGCATAGACCGTCTTTGTGATGGGAGTGAACTGTGAACTGTGACATATCCGCTTTCACTCCCACTGAGCGAGGAGAGGCACAATTACTGCGTCGGTAATCAAAAATCGCAAGTTGAACCACATCTGAACAGTTTCCTGTGTGCATGAACCAGTTTCGCTCCCTCGTACACGCCTTTGAATAGAGCAAGACTCCTCAGTCTAACTGAAAACATCGGGAGTCTCTGGTGTTTTCTGCTTAAGCAAGCTTTAGAAAGACCCAACCCTTTTGTCTACCTGTGCGCGTACACACACAGAGACGGGTAGAAGTGCGATTGTCCGCGTTTGTTTGCCTAAAGGTAGTGCACTGTGCGCAGTGTCTCACATTCTGCTTTGTTTTACTTGCAAAGCTCAAACTTAGAAGAAGAAATAACTCCCCGAACATATAACGCGACTCCTCTGTTTTACAGAAGTTAATGTATAATCTGTTGCATCTAAAATATTTACACCCGACTGTGTTGCCAAGTTAAGTTTTTCCAAAACTTTTCTATACAGGTTTTAACTGCAGAACATATGAAGGCATTCCACTGATATGTTGCACTTGAAGTACAACTTTGTCAGTTATGTAGCCTACACGTTCTCTGTCTCTCCTTTCGTGTCAGATTCTCCAAGAACCAAAGTTTTCAGCGACAAAAACGTTCCACCAAGCACAAAATAAAAACAAACAGAGCAGTTCCTACCGTAATAAAGGCAACCATAGCATCGGCGGGTTAGTATCCAACAGAGTCGACATGAAGGTGATAAATTTTTTGACAGAATCCTTTGGTGAAAACTTCCCACGTTCCAAGGACTGCCGCCTGCGTTCAGTGCGCCACACTGGTTCTGTGTGAAGAGGATCAGGGTGTGCGTAATGCTCGCTCTCTCTCTCTCTCTCGCTCTCCCGGACAACAGTTTACGCCGCTGTTTCTGTTGCAGCACAGATGGTTCTCGGCGCATCTTGCTGCAAAGACCTGCATGTGTGACATGTCTGTCAAGCCTGCTGACATGAATTAGGACAGCGAATTAGTAGTGTGTGTGTGTGTGTGTGTGTATGTGTGTGTGTGACTAATGCAAACTTTGCATTTTTTTGTAGCACTGGCTGACATTTGGCAAGTTCTTCAAGACTTAAAATTTAAAGTCACAAAGGCGTGGAAAATTCATAATGATTATTATGCAAACATCTCTCATTTCAAAAGCTGAACAGCTGGACCAAAGATGTCACCTATTGGTACCCCTTAAAAGTGGTAATAAATAAGTAGGTTATAATGATATTTTAAGCAGACTACTGTTACTATTACAGCTGTTTTCAATTTTGTAATCAGTCATTCAGGTTATGTCAATGGAGAAAAATCCTCACTGTATAGTTGGGCAGCTTTTGTGCCCTTCACCATAGGAAAGAAAAGAGTTGTCAGAGGAGATAAGGAAGAATAATGAGGTACAGAGGAACCCCATGACTTCAAGATGAGTTATCAAAAATATTTTAGTTTTTTACAGAACAGAAAAAATGAGGAAGTAAAAACATTTTAAAAATGAATGTGTAACAAAAGATAACTAAATAGTTACCAGTGACACAAAGGATTAGAACTGAAAAATGTATTGTTAATTTAGTTAGCACAGTTCACTATCAAGATTTTTCATGGGGACTATTTCTTCAGTCAAACGTAGTTGATGTGGATTGTCACTATACCACAAGCTATAAGCACCATTTGCCTGTATTATATTGATGAAATAGCAAAAACTGATATTTCAAATGGTGGGTATCTGAAAGGCCAGCTACTACTAGGGAGAGTGTGGGTCAATGGTATTTTTTGAAAAGTTTTGTAAATGACATGCAAATCACTCCACAAGGCCCGTTTAGACAGCTGTATTGACTAAGGGTGTACTCACACTAAGCAATCCCTACCATGGCTGAGCACATTTGATCCTGACGTCCAGTTTGTTTGACAATTGTGATCGCTCCGTAACAGGTGGACTTGGGCACATTACATGCAGCATGATCACTAACTGTGCCTGGGCAGGGAACACCAACACTGAAACCTGGATACTGTTAAAGTCATGTTTTTGGGGATAAATAACTCTATATCCTAAATATGATGAAAACCAGGACACTAGAGCAAATTCAGATACACTCACGGGCAGCTGTGGTTCAGGAAGTACAACAGGTTGTCCCCTAACTGTAGGGTTGGTAGGTCAGTCTCTGGCTTCTCTGATCCACATGTCTTCTTGGGCAAGAAACTGAACCCCAAGTTGTTCCCTGTGATATCACTGGTGTGTGAATGAATGGGTGAATGAGCAAATAGTGTTATAGTGTTTTGAGTGTGCTTCAGGGCATAGGAAAGTGCTATACAAGTATAAGTCCATTTACTAAGGGCAGCAAGCTAGATCACCATGGGAATTATACATCTGCTCTTCTGTTTCTGCATTTGTTTTTGTTTTGTCTGTCTTTATGCTTGTTTAAACATCATCATGAATAAATATAACTTGTATTGACCTGACTGGTTTCCAGATAATAAATGCGGAGTTCCTTCATAGTTGGAAACATAATGCCAAGTTGGAATACTCCTGGATAACCTTAAACAAAGTGAGTTTTTTCTGACAGACTAAATCCAGAAAAGATCATAGGCAACATCGAAAATTAACCAGATTAGATGCATTTGTAGGGTAAATTTGTGTGCTTTATGCTGAGATTCAAACATGCCTGTTCAAAAACACTGCACACTGCTTTTTTGTTTGCACTCTGATAGGCATCAGCGAACAATCC